TTCCTCCGTGGTACATAGACATGTGGAATGCTTCCACGCCTTTCAGTTAATACTAGCGCCACTATGGTGTCGAAATGCATCAGTTGAATGGGAATTGTGGGTTTTCAAGAAGAACAAATCGATCACTCATGGGCATACAATATACGCGTGCTGGTGAGAGTGTGTTAGCATTCGAAATAGTCCTCGCCACGGGATTAATCATATACCTCACCAGCGTATAACCGCATCATTATCTACAGGCGCAACCGACGGGAATGCGAGACAGAGAGAACTGTAGGTCCCTTGTAGCTTTTACCATTTTAGTTTTGTATCTCCGATATCCATTTTTTTATATGCATGTATGTATGTTGTTGTTTGAATAAACAAACTTCTTCCGACGCTTGCAAAATGTGCAACGAGATATCGTGACAAGGCAACTTCCGCTTTGACGTGACTGTCGATTGATCTGAAATTGTGCTTGGTGAAAAGGTCCTAAAATAAACCTTCATTTTTAAACATTTGATCACCGAATATCTCAATCTTTGCGTTTTTGGATGAGCAAACTCGGCTAGCAGCCTTTGTCAACTTCTTCTTCAGCACAAGTTGTTTCTGAGGCTAATGCTGAAGAAGATAATCGGAATTTTGACGACTCTGTATCGCCGTTTTCCTTACCAAACTTTTAGGATTTTATTCACTTTCGTCTATCACCAAAGTTGGCAGTAGTTTAGTTGCATCACCCTAGGATTTGCGATACACAATTTCTAACACGTTTTATTCATCTTGTAGGCACTAACTTCAGTTAGCCACTCCAAATTGTTGACCCCATTTTTCCATTTGTGCGCGCCTCTTCAAGTTTTACGTTTTGTGAACCGCATTTTTTCATTATGGGCGAAACAAAAAACGATTCGGCCTCTAACAACCACTTTTCACCCATTAACGCTGTAAGCACTAAGCTCCCTGCCTTCGCTGCCAGATACCCGCGCTTCCGATTCAGTATCAGTATCAGCTTGTTGAGGGAAAGATAGGCGAACGCCTTTGAACTCCCTGTTGGTAACAAGATGATAGGGAATAAATTGATACAAAGAAAAATATAAAATTTACGTCATATTACATGTTCCGGGAAGACACCAGAGTAAATCTTAACAAAATATGACAGAAAAATATATGACTACTCGCAAATCGCGAGTAGTATAATTTGATGCAGTGTATGTGATCAGTGTATGTGATACAATAAGTGTGGTGCAGTATCATGTGCTGCAGTAGTTTTTACATGGTTTGTATTTATGCTCGATGCATGCCCAGTCTTCTCTTAAATGAATTAACACAAATGGAGAGGACAACCTCTTCAGAAAGGGCGTTCCGTGCTGAAACTACTCTGTTGGTAAAGAAGAATTTTCATCCGTCGATTCTTTCTTTGCCGAGGCGTAGTTTAAGGGGATGCCCGCGCAAAGTTAGCGTGTTAGCCCGGGCAAAGAAATGACCGGGAACGAAACAACAATCCAGGTTATTCATAATACGGAAGGTTAGTATGAGGTCCCCTCGGAGTCGTCTGTAGGAAAGGGGAAAGAGGTTGACGATTGATAGCCTGCTTTCATAGGGCAATGTTTATAGACCTTTGACCATTTTTGTCGCTCGCCTCTGGACCTTCTCTAAGACGGTACAGTCTCTGACAGTCCAAGGTCTCCATGCTTGTATAGCGAATTCCAGGTGCGGCCGAACGAAGCTTCCAAAGATTTTGGAAA